TTAAATTTGCCTTTTGAGGCTTTTAAGTGGAGCAGAGGGGTGGTGGCAAAAGCCAGGTATGTCTAGTCCAGGGGTAGGCAACCTTGGCTCTTTTATGACATGTGGACTTCAACTCCCAGAATTCCTGAGCCAGCATGGCTCAGCTTGGAAACTCTCCCTTTCCCCTCAGCATGTCTGGCTCAGGAATTCTGGGAGTTGAAGTCCACGAGTCATAAAAGAGCCAAGGTTGCCTACCCCTGGTCTAGTCTATAGAAGAGAAAGATTAGGGGGGCAAGATAGCTGTCTTCCAGTACTTGAGGGGCTGTTACAAAGAAGAGGGAATTGACTTATTCTCCAGGGCATCAGAGAGCAGGTCAAGAATTAATGGGTGGAAGCTTGTCAAACATAGAGTCCAACTTCGAAGGAGAAATTTTCTGACAGTGAGCGCAATTAGTCAGTGGAATAGCTGGCCTTCTGGGTTGTGGGTGCTTGGAAGTTCTCAAGAATAGACTGGACAACCAATTGACTGTGATGGTATAAGACTCCTGCCCTGAATCAGGGTTGGATTAGAAGACATCTGAGGTCCATTCCATCACTACCATTCTACCATTCTCTGGCACAGCATTCCATTCTAACTATTTGGGAGGAAGAATTCTAACCCTTTTTAATTTCCTTTTTGCACGAATCAGAAGTGAAAAGATTTTTTTGAGGGGGTGTTAAAGGGATCACAAAAGTTGGGGCATTTATTGACCAATATTCTGTGTGTTCTTCCGTTGATAAGTGACAGAAACACTGTCTAGCTTGGGGTGACTGTTGCAAATTTTCAGCATTTCAGATCTGCAGATGAGAGGCTAACATCAGATTGCTTTGTAAAATTAACATGGAAGTACTTTTGTTTCTGCCATGTTTCTCACACACTGGTTCTTCCTTTTGGTAGTGGACATTAAGATAAAGTCAAGCATTTATCTTACTAAGATAAATGAAATGAAACAAATGCAAAACAAATATAATAATTTCAGATAACAAAAATTGGGAGATTCTAGAACCTTATTTTAGTACAAAATGCAGCTTGAATGAATATCAAGCATATTTAATAAAGAAATTCGTAGCATTTCAAGACTATGATGCAGAGAGGCCCACCAGCACCTCAGAGGAAATTGCTATTGTTTTTGTTCTTATTGTATTCAATGTTCAACATAACCTGGAGGTTATCCACATTGCTGGGCTGAAGAAGAGATCTGATTTTTAAGAGATATAAAAGAGTTATAAAAGGCCTATGAATACACAATGCAAAGAAAATATTAATTTTCTAAGTTTATACCCTGAGCAGGCATGTCATTTTTTTTAACAATCTATCAACAAAAAGGGGGATGCCCAGGCTTTTCAAACAGACTTGCTATCACAAGCAGTTTTATCATTATTTTTTTTGTTAAAAAAAACTGTTCAATTAAAGATATGAAACTATGTAGAACCAAGGAAAGAAAAACTTGACAAGAGAGAAAAAAGGGGAAGAGCAGGCTGCACACGATCATTTCCTGGGATTACAGGGCTGTCCCAGCGTGTCTCACTTGGCAGCGTCTGTTATGGTGTTCTAATCTACTTTTGGATGTAAAGCCAGATTTTGTTTGGCACCTGGCCTGTGACACAGTTCCTGAAGGAGTTTATTTGGGAAACCAGGATAATTAAGTATTGCCGCATTAGGAAATGTTCCCTGACTTTGAGCCTGCTTCCAATCATCCTGTGACATTTCTGGTCCTGCTTTGATCATGGAAGCTCAGTCAGACCTCACCTGCTTTGCTAAAGTAAGTTGTGGCAGCAACTATCCCATAATCTCTAGAAGGAAGATAATTGCCAGGAAGGAGGGAATGCACAAACCCAATTTCTGGGGCTTCAAATAAGGGTCTTATCCCATTTTAACAGTAGATGCTGGGCTCCGAAACTGGATCAAAACAAGAAAGAGTTGTTCTGCCACTGAGTTATAGTCTTTTCTCTTTTTTTAGCAGTTAAAAAATAGGAAAAGGGGCAAAGCAGAAGCTGCCTAAGAGAAAAGTAGGCCAGTTCCAAAGGCCAAAATAATTATAACAAAAGTATCTCAATGGTGTATGTTCTCAGGATTATCCAGCAGAATTTCAAACCCCCGGCTTTTTTTTTTTTAAATTGCTGCCCTCCAGATAGATAGGGCCTCTACAATTTAAATACACTGAGGATTCTTGAAATTGCCATCTCAACATTTCTGGGGGTAGGAGAGGGCTCTTGGTAGGGTAGATGGTCCTATGTGCACAGACCCCAGGGCTTGCCAGGGATTTGATTTAGTGGGAGCAAAAAACAGCCCCTGTCCTCCAGTCAAAGGGCACAAAATTCAGGGTTTTGGGACCTGAGGGGGAAATGCCTCTTCCAACATCCCTCAGCAATAAGAAATACCAGAGTAAATTAATCAAGTAACACTTTGCTACCCCTTTGTTCCACTCAGCATCAGTGATCCTAAGGATAGCTGCTTCATCTTGTATTTAAACATTTAAGTTTCCCTTAATGAAAAGTGAACCCCTTTTGAAGCAACATGGAAGAAATTTGTCTTCCCCTCTTTCTCCCATGTAGAACAACCAGAACTGGAGTCAAATATTTCCCCTAAATCGCTTTTATTTTTGGTTTTTGTGCAAAAAAGAAACAGAATACTATAAAAGGCTACCAATGAATCTATATGTGCATGCATGTGCAGAAACCCACATATGAAAGTATTTTTAGAAGAAAGGCAGCAAAAAATTCATTAAGTATTTGCCAACTTTCTCCTCGCCTTCTGATTGACAGTAAGAACAAGAAAAATGTTCTTGGTCAGGAATGGGCTGAAGGAATCCAGGGAGCAGCTGGTAGAATATTAGTGGCATTTTCATCATGGCTTTTTAAAATGGTCGTGGTCAAGTGGCAGAGATTAAGCTGTGCAATGCCAACTGTGGGCATAATTAGTCCCAATCCATCAACACCAACACTTATTAGAATGGGCAGAGGAGCTGGGTTTTCCCATTGATGCCCCAATATGGTAAATGGGCAAAGATATTGGAAGATGCATTTCAACTTCTCCATCCCTGCAGAATCATTAAAGTAGGAACTTCATTCTACCAGGAACAAGGCAATGAATATGCAAAACGGAAAAACAAAGTTTATGAAAGGAGTGGAAATAAATAGGCAGGATAATACAAGGTGGTGATGGGAGGCTGTTGAAAAAGTGAAATGCTTTAACTTCTTCACCTTTTGATCCCACTCCCCCCCCCCAGGATGTCCCCTGTAAATGGACCACATATAACAAACAGGCTCACAAATCGAAATTGAGGCATGCTGGATGAACAGAGAAGGGTGTTGCACTGTTGAACACAATGACTGAGTCTAAAATGCTGGCCTGGCGAATTTTTACTTATTTACTAATGAGGAAGCACTGTACTTTTCCTGTCCAAGTTAAACAGAGTTTAACATCCTGGATAATTAACACATAGTTGATTTGTTGAAAGGTGGTTCTGCTGTGAGATGTGAGTCACACTAGAGAAATCATATGTATACAAGCTTCCAAAAGTCCAAAAAAGTCATAACCACTGACCTGTCCAAAGATCCCTACTTTTCTGTTGTGGCTCATCAGGATCTGAAGCAATCAGACATAATTTCTGGTTGCCTAGAGCAGTATTTTTCAGCCCAGTACTTTATCCTCTTCTCTCAAATTTCTTTGTTACACTCTGTCTCTACTCCAAGGACAAGTTTTTGAGGAGTTGTAGAGAGGTATGGAGACCTCTGTGGCCATTTGTTCCCCGACAGACTAACTGCTCTGGAAAAGTAGCAACTATGTGGATCCCAACATAAATCTTATTCTATATGCTCATGACATACAAGCCTTGAATTTATTCTTAACCTATCTAAAATGATTGTTTTTAATACAAATAGTCCTTGGATTACAACCACTCATTTAACAACTGCTCAGAGTTATGAGAATGTGGAACAAGGGGTTTTTTTTATTAGTCCTTTAAGTTGCACCCATTATGGCAGGGGTAGGTAACCTTGGCTCTTTTATGATTCGTGGACTTCAACTCCCAGAATTCCCGAGCCAGCTAAGCTGGCTCGGGAATTCTGGGAATTGAAGTCCACGAGTTATAAAAGAGCCAAGGTTGACTACCCCTGCATTATGGTATCTATGCGGTCATGTATTCACAACTCAAGGTGCTTGGCAACCAGCTTGCAATTACAATTGTTGCAGCAACCTGAGATCATGTCAATGCAAGCTTCTCATAAGCAAAGTCGATGGGGAAGCCAATAGGAGGTTGCAGGTTGCTCCCATAAATCCCTCCAATTCCCATGGCTTTTTCTCCCAAGGAACCTCCGGGCACAGAGATCTTTGTCCTTGGTAGCTCCCACCTGCCCCTACTCCATGGCGGCCCAAAGGCAGCCACCCATCCGCACTCTGTAAATGCCCACCCGTGACACCTGCACATCCGCCTGTACTCTGTAGCATCTGCCCACACTCCATTGTTCCAGTGCACAGCACCCACCCACTAGACTCCTTGCCTGGTATGTGGTTTCAACACCTCCTCCCACTTTACTGTCACATGAGGTCCCCACTTAATGACCCATGTAGTCCTTGCTAACTGACAACAGGGACTGCTGAAGTTGTTATTGCTAAGTGATGTGATCGTGAAACAACACATTTTATGACTGCATCACTTAAAAAGTTCTGGTTTCAACTGACATCATAACCCAAGGACTATCTATATGGATGACTATACCTCGCTCCATCTGCTTAAAAAGTGCCCCAAGGATAGCAAGATCCTTCTGTCCCTCCAGCCTAGGCCTATCAGACAGTTTCACGGCTGTTCGGTGTTCTCGGTTTTGGATAGACATTCCTTCAGTGATACTGGACAATGCCTCTATATGTACCCATACCAATTACATCCATTGTTTTCTACCTGCTGCTACATTTGTGTACAGCCAGTCTTTTCCTTGTTCAAACTAGCAACTGTACAAACAGGACCCAAAAGGGAAACAGACTGTTTTTGTAAAAAGATCTTTATTGGAAAAGGGGGGAAACTGTGAAAAGCAGACAGGGTTTACCCAGCACCAGTAGAGGAGGGAAAGGCCACAGCATCCCAGCAGGAATACAGACAAAAGGGACTGAAAAGGGGGAACCAGCTTCATTGGCTCTGAGGGATCCTTTCCTGATGCTGAAAGGAAGGCAAGGTGTGTCTTGTGGGCAGAGAGCAAGCAAGCACAGCTCAGTGAGATTACCCAGCTGTGCTGCTCCTCAGATGGGAAGGCTGCCTATGAAGAAACATATATGCATTAGAGATGGGGAAGGGAAAGGTGTGTGCATGCACATACACACAGAGCATGCCAGGAAGTAGGCACTTCGTCCGTGGGAAAGGGAGTGCAAAGCGATACCAAAGAGGTCTGCATTTTCCTACTGTACACAGTGCCTCTTTTAGGGAGGTAAGGCAGATATGGTTCCCCATCCCATTTCTACTGTGATTTCTCTCACATCCCTTCTCATTCCTTGAAAGGGGTTTCCTTGGGGTGCCTTAAAGAAAGGTTTGGTTTATGACCGGAGGAAGCTATGTGGAGAAACCACGGGCATTGCTAAGATTGCAAGAGGCTGCCAAAAAGCCATCTGGCTTTGACAAAGAACCCCACAGGTGGAGAGCTTTAGCAAGACCTGGTTGCAGCTGAGCCCATTTCCAAACATCATGCTGCATTCAGGGAAGCAAACCAGAGCAAAGGATACTGGGACAACACAGAGAGCAGAGAGGACAGGAGGTAGAAGAGAAGTTAAGGGAAAGGCAAGCAACACACTTCTTTAGGAAAGGGTGGGCCTGCATGCTATAAAACTAAGGATGTTGCAGTTAAAGATAAGGTTGTGTAGGCTGAAGAATAATGGGGTTTGGTAAGGTATTGCCAAGCTGGGAGAGGCCAAGCTGCAGCTTCAAGTGGCGTGTATCCAAGTGGGTTCAGGCACCATGCCCTGAAGATGGTGGGACTGTATCCATCATACTAGTCTTTCCCCTTTCCTTTTCTGGCTGCATGAAACAATTAAGGAAGAAAAACGTTAGCATGACACATTACATGAAGATTATATTCCTGCATCACACCAACCCATGATTTGCATAAAAATCAGATACTGAATAAAACACACTTTGCTGGATCTGTTCAACACAAACAACCATAAACAATAGTTTTAAGCTATCCTGACAGGCTTCACATAATCTACACCCAAACCAAAGAAACCATAATTTATTTGAGTTGGCAGGTTCATCTGCTTTTCCATAATTGCCAATTGATTATGGCTCATCTGACCCATTTGGGGGGTCTGGCACATAAACCAAGCCACACTTGTTATTTTTGGGCTCCTGCACTCCCAATCTCTGTGTGAGAAACTTAAGATGTTTGTATCATTTTCCCCAATTGCTGCCCACTAGATATGGAGAACCTATAACCACCAGAATGCCAGTTGGGAATCTCTAGGCATTGGAACAGGTGCTGTTTGCTTTATCTTTTCCAGGTCTCACTATGCCCCCCCAGGAGGTCCTACAGAGAGAAGAAATGAGGATTGTGGGTGATCTCAAATCCTTTGGACGCAACATGAGCACATCCATATTACTTTCTTAGCCTACTACTGTTGTGCACTTTCTGTTATGGGCACTCTCCTTAGAATCCATAAAGGTCTCTGGCCAAGTTTGTTTATAATGTACTTTGAAGAGCGTTGTATTTTGTAGCTCTCCAAAGTACGTTATAAACAAACTTGGCCAGGGACCTTTATGGATACTAAGGAGAGTGCAAAACAGACCAGAATCTCTTTGGGCAAAAGGAACCCTAAGAAATTATAATAAGAACCATGACTGGCAACCAGAATAACCATCCATGAATTCCTAGCCTTCTAAATGCTAACCATTTCCATTCTGGTATCACTTAGTGGCATGCAAAATAAAGCACCAAAGGCTTTACCAATGCTATTCTACAACTACACTGACCTTTGGGTTTTGACTTGGTCTTGGGAGAGCAGGGCTTAGTCACTTGAATAGTTTCCTGGCACTCGGCATTGTAAAGAGCTTTCTTCAGAGTACCTGAACGGGCCTTCAGACCTGTCGCAGGGTCACAGCCACCCCAGTTCTCAAACTTGTACTTGCAGTCAGCTAGGGGAGAAGTAAGAACAGTTAGATGTATGCAGGATCCACAACAAACCTAGATCCAGCTTGACTTCCCCTCACCATCATTTTTTTTTTCTAAAATGAGAAACAACCCAGATGCCCAGGAAATGAGCACACACTTCACAAACTCATGAACCACTGCCATCCACCGCAGAGCTATCAGGACTGCTTGGCTAATGTGACAAAGGGAAGCTTCTTATATTCTTAAATGGCAAAAGAACTGCAGCTGCCAGAAATTAAAAATAATTTCTTTCTAAAAAGATCAGTTGGTCTCAGAAGCCAGAGGATATGATTAAAATGCTTTTAATATGAAAACATAACAAGAAGCAATGGAAGAAGCCAATTATCAGAGCCAACCAAGGCAAACGGATACTGCATAGAAGCAAGCAATGGGCTGACATGCAATGCAGGTATTAAGTGTTTGGGTTTATTCTCTCACATTTAAACTTGAAAACAATTTGGCTGGCTTCCTGAGGCTCTGATAAGATTGTTGCATCATCTTCCTCTAAGCCAGATGAACGCTCACCTCCAAACTCCTTCTTCCAGTTGCATGGAATCTTGCATTTCAGCTTCTTGGTCTCATCCTGACACGTTCCCTCACGGAAGCCCACACCACAGTCCTTGCTGTTGGGGATACAAGGGCCCCAGCGCCATTCCTCACAATCGGAACCATTTTTCTTGACCTTGTCTGCATGAAGAACAGGCCGTCATTTCAGACTCACGAGAATTAGCCTTCTCTTTTCTTATAATCTATCTTGAACCATTAAAAGCAGCCTCTCACCTAAAGCAGCATGGAGGGCTCTTTGGGGCCTTCAAATTAGTACCAACTCCACTGACTGCATGGCAGCAGTTTTATTAGCAACGTTTTGGGGGAATCCATTGCCGTTGCCTTCTTGCTAGGGCTGAGAGCAAATGAGCCCAAAGGCACCCAGCTGGCTTCATGCCTATGGCAGAACTAGAGCTTACCATCTCCCTGGTTATTAGCCTAGTACCCAGAAGAGATATGTTGCTTTCTGTACTTTTTAGTCTACTGAAAGCCTCACTGAAAGATGTCTTCTGAAAATAGCCAACTGTAAATAGGGACTTACCAATCACAAATATGACACTCACCCTTCTTATTCTTGCCTGCTTCTGAAGATACAGCCAGGAGCATAAAAACCAGAAGGAGAAAGAGTCCACGGGCCTGCATTCTGTAAGAGGAAAAACACTGAAACCACTGTTGGCACAAATATATATTCTACCGTAATCCCAAGAAAAGAGCTGTAAGATGGAGGAATGTGACAAAAGGGAGGGATATGATTTTCTGCTGACATGGTTCCTGGGTCTTGTGCAGCCTGGAATGTAAACATGCAACAGGTTAAGCTCCCTTCATCACTTCGTTACCACAGCAGGAAACATATCAAATGCTACAAATCAGTAATTCAAGTTGTAATTAAATTCAGAGAAAAAGGACATTTAAAAAAAACCCAAAAACAATTGCTATTTCAAGTTCATCCAATTTCCCTAAGGCTCTGATTTGCTGGCGAATGCTTAGCATTTTAAACCTTGCACTGGGATCATCTATTTAGCTTTTTTCATTCAAGGGAACAGAAGCAGATGCTTAAGATGAGAGAAGTTTCCTTTTTAAAATAAACAAAGAAAATAACTCTAATGAAACATCACCACTTTTTGCATAAATTCGCACAGTGCTAAAAACCAATTTAGGCAAATGGCTAATTATGTTCTCCCCTTTGATACGTACTGCAGCTGATATTATTGGTAAACAATGGGGAATTTTAATTTCTATCTAATGATAAATACTGTATTTAGCTGTCGATGACTCAATATATTTCTTTGAGGGTTTTTTCAACAATATGTGGTTTTTATTATTATACTCCTTTGTATTTGTTTCAATTTAATCTAGCCTAAAAAGATAAATATGTCCTCCAGTTGACTGTATCCATACAGTTTTCTTAGCAGTATTTGCCACTGTCTTCTCTGGAATATTTTTTGTCTTCCCAGTCCAGCCTATAACTTGGATATTCCAAATAATAACCTAATCCAAATATTGGAGCCCTGGCTTAACTTTTTCAAGATTAGCCAAGGTCAATTAGATACTGCCATCTGCTGTAGATAATATTAATTTACGTAGATTTTCTCAAAATCCTGTAAAATCATTTACCTATTTGTAATAGGTGCCTCTGACTTTACAGTAGTAGCCAAAGCAGGAGTCCATTAAGTACAGGAATTAAATTTATTCTTACTAATCATATCATCCTAGTCCTTATTATAAGTTGCTGCCTATAGAACATCTTTACTCAGTTGCTGCAAAGGACAGTGGTAAATTACTGAAGACTATATAGTGCACGGGTGTCAAACTTGCCACGTCACATGACGCGTCGCGATGTATTGCACCTTTTTTTGCCATTGCCGGCAATGGGGTGGGTGCGGTTTTGCTATGATGAAATCGGTGTGCCGGCAGTTTGACACCCTTGATATAGTGCAGGGGTAGGCAACCTTGGCTCTTTTATGAGTCGTGGACTTCAACTCCCAGAATTCCTGAGCCAGCTGTGCTGGCTCAGGAATTCTGGGAGTTGAAGTCCACGAGTCATAAAAGAGCCAAGGTTGCCTACCCCTGATATAGTGGTTCCTGGTTGAGCTATCTGCTTACATCACAATGCTATTAGTTATCAGTTTCTTTATCTCCTGCCCTCTCTCTGTTTTGCTCAGTTGGACTTCCTTTTTGGTATTGTGTTGTCCTAGGGAAGCCTCACAAAACTCTACACCTTCACTCACCATTCACTACTACAAGTTGTGTCTTAAAGGTCCAGTTAAGGGGCCTTTCCAATGCAGCTCCCCAAAGGAGAGGACAAAAACCAGATAAAATTCATACCCCCCCCCCAATTTCCAAATAGCATCCCCTCTCTGGCCCTCCTAGACTTTAAATGTGGCGCAACCAAGTGGGAAACTGGGAAAAACAAACCTGCCAATGGATTTATGCTGCCCCTACTTTTGGAAAAGCTGGGTGGGGTCTGGTGGCTGGCAATAGCCAGGCCCTACTCCCCACTCCTCTCCGTGGCTGCTACTGTCCCCTGATTTCCCAGTGTCTCTCTTTTATCTGGAGCTCAGCAGGCTGCCTCGTCTCTGCCAAAGCTCCTGAGGCTAGGGAGATCTCTGCTGCTATGGAGCCTTTATGTATCTCAAAAAGAATCCAGAGGGGGAAAAGAAACCCTGACAGGCAGTTTTGAGAATTAAAACAGAAGATTAAAAATAAAAGCTCGCCACAATCAGATCTCGTGGGGAGCTTTAGAAGGCAGGCTGCTCCCCCTGCTGGTTCACTTAATGTCAGCCTATTACCATATCCCAACAAAGAGTCTTTGGAAACAAGCCGTCCCACCAAATTGTGTATGTGCACACACATCCCACGAAGAAGAGGAATGGCACACATGCACAAAGCTACGGTGCAGGGGTTGTTTTTGCTCAATCGCTGTTACTTTGCCATTTTCTTCCAACTCCTCCAACGACTTATTTCAGCAAACAAGATTTAGTCATTCTTCTTTCATGCAGGTTTATAAACTTCCCACATACATGGAACTCCACAATGGTGATTCTATTTATGGGTGCAAATACAATATTTATTTACCCAGGATAGCCAGTAGCAGCCAACAGTAGATCAAGGAATAAAATCTAAAAGGAACAGTAAAATCTTTTGGTTGGGTCTCCCACACAAACAGAAAATGTGAGGATAAATCAGGAAATAAAACTCTTGGTTTCAATTGCACAGAAGTTGTAATAGCCAAGACATTCTTTCTCAAGGTTTTTCAGTGGTATGGCAGGGGCACGAAAATGACCAGTATATGATGTGGAGCCTTTTAATTTGCCTCCTGAATGCAGAAACATGGCCATTAAGGATTTGCTTGATTAAGCCAATTACAGTCCTTTGCTCAAATGGATAATTTCAGTTGCAGATTCAGTGACTCCAATGTGGTTAAAAAATAACCCACTGAAAAAACGAGGGCAATACTCTATCAAATAAAGTTTTCAAGTTCCCCGCATTAGCATTGTAATTATAAAATTCAAACTCCATGAATCAGCAAAAAGCAGGCTAGAAATTTAATAAATTTAATAACATGCATCTTTTTGCTCATTCATTTTAAGTGTTATTAGAAAAAAGGCCATTATGACATACAGAGTGATCGGTTTTCTGATCTTAGCTTTCCCAGGCTGGTGTCCTCCAGCAATACAGCTGCCAGCTGAAGAGGGCAACACAGGAACATCTGGAGAGCACGAGATGGGAGGCTGCAACTCTAGCCCACTGGCCACAGGAGCCAGAGGGGTGAATTGTGTTTTGTTTTTAAAATAAAATATCCAATCCAGTTGTTCACTTGGCCTATACAACTGCTAAATCCAGAGTGCTGAATAGATGCTCATTATGAAACTGATTTCAGGCAAGGGTTAAATGGTGGGCCTGGCCATGAGGTCTGGTAACTTTGCTTGAAACTCTATCCAGACGTCTGGTAAGGTGCCGAGAAGGGTGAAGGCTTACTGGTTTTTTTCACATCAGGTTACTTTGTATTTTCTTTTAAGGTTTCCAACTATTCCAAGGGTATCCAGTATGCTGAATAATCTAACCAGCACATGTCTTTCATTAAATGCACTCACAGGGCATTTAATCGGTGTTCCTCCACATCCCAAGCAACGAAATGGAGAGGGTGGAGAAGAGTAGAGGNCCCCCCCCCTTTCCACCATTGGTGAGACCAGGCTGAAGCCTGCTGTGCTCAGTGGAGGGGAAAGAGGGGTGGCTAAAAGAAAGAAAGACACAATCAGCACTTTTGCTCCCTCCTCAACAGCCCCCCCTCCCAGAGAGCAGGTCACCTCATTACTGAGGCTCCATTGGCTGCACCTGATGCTGAGAAGTTGTCAGATTCCCTCTGAATTGACCTGTCACAGAGAATTACACAGGCTGAAGGCAGATACCCTCCTCCCGTTCGAGAGAAGCATCCCTGAGGGAAAGCAAAGGGCCTGTTAGGACACAGCCAAGGCAACTCTCTTCAAAGCCCCCTTCAAACAAGGGCAGCAGATCAGCCTTAAGAGCAGCCCAAATCTGAACTCGGCTCTGATTGCAATGTCCAACAATGGACACGCCAGAGGCTAGGTCTGCTGCTTCTTTCTTAGATGGCAACAAGCCATGAAAGGCTGCAGTTGGGGGGAGCTTACAAGGCACTGAACAAGCTGGTCTCATTGTTTCCTCTGGGTACCAGCCCATCTTTAAAAGAGAGGGGTGATCCCTTAGCCCCAGGGCCACATGCAGCCAAATAAAGGCTTGGAATGCCCATGGCATTTCCAATTGTGGTTTTCAAATTGTGACTTTTAGTCCCAAATACCATAGGGAGCAATTCAATCCACAAAAATCACATTTTTGTCATTGCCCTCGATTTGCCCACTTCTTTGCTCTAGCTCCATTAATTTTTGTCACTAATGCTTTGTGCCCCCAAACACCACATGCTCTACATAGAGTTTGTCTTCTGGTATATATTTCCTTTGGGAGAAATGTTGAAATCCTGCAAAAAAAAAACAAACCTGGCAAGTATGGTAAGTCTGGGTGAATATATTATCTGCATTGTTTAATGGGAGGAACACCCCCTTTTGACTAATTCTCACATTAGTTTTGCAATGCAGGTATGACAGTACTTCTATGCAGGTGTATCTATGGGGGACAGGAGTTGTTTTTTTAAAAAAAAAACAAGATGGCCCTTAGAGTTGCAACCACCCTCTTAAATGTTTTTAACTCTTTCTGAAGATGCCCTGGTTCTGTGCATGTTTGTACCACTCTGGTTTGGTATTGGGGAACAATAGGCAGATATAACTTTTCCTTTCTATCGCATCAGTAGCAGCAGGCATATTGTCTGAAATAATTCCGCATTCTGCCTGTTTTATACTTTCTCCCATTTTTCAGGCACTCCTAGTGCAACTTGATCAAACATGTGGCAAAACTTAAGGTTTTTTTCCTTTTAAAATGTCAGCACGTTTCCCCCCACAAGAAGATACTAATATTTCTTTTTGTTTAATAATTTTCACTATGGAAAATTGCCTTTTAGGGTTCTCCAGATAAAGGAATTTGATGCCCTGTGGGATTCTTCACACAGACACACACACACANAGAGAGAGAGAGAGAGAGAGAGAGAGAGAGAGAGAGAGAGAGAGAGAGAGA